GATGCCAATGTCGTTCAGTATCTACATTCAAATAATTTGCAGTTCTGTTGGACAAGACAGTATAGGGAACACAAAGCCAGGATCACAACCTTAAGAATCTAAATGCTTGATGCCTTCACCCTCCAGTACCCTTAATACAAGAAATTGACAAGAACCATTTGTAATTATCATGTGTTGTGGTTTTTGTTGTCAAGTTGAGACTACCCTGTTACCAGGTTCTTGAATAAAAGCAAAAAGAAAAGGCATAATACATATATTAGACCCTAAACTTGGCTTCAAATTTTAACTTTGACCTCCAACTTTCATAATGCACAAACAAGCACTTTAACTATCCAACTTTTAAATAAATAAACACATGAGTCCTACATGGCACAATACACGTAGGACACCACGTAGGACAAAAAATGACATGTAGGACATGTGTGTCTATTTGTTCAACTTTATACAAGTTTAAGTGTCTACTTGTGCACACCCAAAGTTGAAGGGCATAAATGTAATTCGAAACCAAGATAAAGGGCATATTTTTGTATTATGCCATACATAAATGTGCCCTTAACTTCGCTTCAAATTTCATTTATGCCCTTCAACTTTGAGTTTGCTTAAGTAGGCACTCAAACTTGTACTAAATTGAACAAGTAGACACATGCGTCCTTCATGTTATACAAGTTCAATTTTATACAAGTTTAAGTGTGCACTTGTGCACACCCAAAGTCGGAGGGGATAGATGTCAGTTGAAATCAACTTAAAGATCATATATATATGTATTTGCAAAACTAAAATATCGTCACTTCATGCAACCTAGCCAAGGAGTTTCTCTTTTCTCTAAGAAACTACTCCCTTCAATTTAGGAGCCATGTATCTCATCCATTTCATGGAAGGGGAGGTCCATTTATATAATTGGAACGGGTAGAAAGGGTCTTAAATTCATTAGCCAACCACGAAACTCCACCACCAATTTCCCAACTTCTATAAGAAGCTCATATTTAACACGGTGAACTACTCCTTTTACTGAAACTTGAGCTAACAAATTCAACATAGCTGCAAGTATGAAGAGAGTATATTCGAAAAAATGACAGCATCAAAACCATTAAGTTGCTTTAACTTTTTCATTTACAAAAGCTACTAAATGTTTTAGTTGTTTTTTAACATTAAAAAAAATATTTATTCCCAATTGAAGAGGTGGACACTGTAAAATGAACGGACTACAAGCTATGCATTTCAATTTTGGATCGGCTAGGAAAATGAAATAGACTACATGCAATGCGTCTCAATTGTGCACTGGCTAGGAAATGGAAACCAAGAAATAAATTGATGGGATACTTTAAGGTAAGTAAACAAGCTATGATTAGTAGCATGCTCTTGTTTAGATCTCACAGAGTGTACACAAGGACCTCGTATTGACCAAATTATAAGCTAAAAGTTCCAATCATATATTATTGACATCCATTGAGAGAGAGATATATGCTCACATTATTTGATGATGTCTGGAAATTAGCCCAAACTGAATGAACCAAATGGACTTTTCTCTTTGGCCCACCGTTGCCCCATAGGAACTACAATAGCAAGTGAGATTTTGTAAAATTAATGTAATTCATTGATGAAGAAATCTAGTATTGCTAACATAACTTTCTTACATTGGCTAAAGCATTTAATTTTGCGGTGTTAGCTGAATTCTCGCTTCTCGAATTCCAAACCAAAGAGACCTGCACTTTACCTGAAATGAGAGAATTTCCATCAACACCATCAAAGAATAATCATAAGCCTCTTATTCAGTATATCATGTACAAACCATTCTTATATCTCTCCGGGATAGGAAGGGAGGTATCATGTGTGGTGACGGCCATCTGCACAATGAGTAGCACATTAGTAAACAAAGAACACCAAAAAAAAATTTCATTGAGCCATCTCACGAACCTAAATGTTTCCTCTGAAAACTTATATGTTTTACTCACCTGAACATACCTCAGGTCACCAGTGCCTTGATCTTCATCGTATGGTTCAACATTCAACTCAATTATCCCTGGATGAAATATCCAAATGAGAAGAAGGAATAGTATGTATAATTCATTCACATGAATTGGGAGGAGGATTAAGAACAAGCCTTTCTTCAGGAGCTTAACAGCAGCATTGATGTTTGGATGATGAGCTGCAGAAAGAGGCCGGTCTTATTTAATTCTATATATTGTCTATACAATAAGCAGATAGTAAATATCCAAACAGCATACATTTACAATCAGGTATATCAACAACATTATGAGTGCCCTCCTCATAAAGCCCAATCAAGGGGTTGGTGGATGAACCGCGAACAGCCAGCTTAGCCCGACACCTCCATCCCCACTGCATTCACAAGACATTTAAGTGATAGAATCACAGAATTTAAAAAATGAACAAGCAAGCGATTACATACTAATCTACAGGAGTCAAATGAAAAATCTTTGATTCCGAGCTTGTTGAAGAAACCAATAGCTTCATCAATTACAACCGGATGATGTAGATTGTACTCTTGAGTACAACCAGAACACCTGTCAAAGTTAAACAAAAAAAAGCAAAATATGAATCTTGTCTTCCACTTAAACTATGTATACAGCTACTCATTATCATATCATATCAAAATTACGGTACCATAACATAATGAGAAGAATTTACGTACGATTGGAAATGAGTGCAGTTGAGGGCGCAGGACAAGGAAGGATTAGGGTTTACAGGGAGAGGTGCTACTGCTACTGCTACTGATGGGACAGCAACGGAGAGAGCTTGACAGGTAATGCGATGGACTGGAGGAGCAGGCGGAGAGAAGAAGCTCAGCGCCATTTTTGTCTCCCTTCAAGGAACGAACGGATAAAATTGTTTTATCTTATCTCTGCCAATATCCGGGTGGCAGACCGGTATCACAACCGGTTTTTTTGTTTACCGGTTTATTATTGTTCAAAAAGAAAGCGATTATATTTTTGTAGTAATTAGTATTTAATTAAGCTTTTTCAAAATACTTCCAAACACCTCTTTTTTAATAAACAAAATAATTATTGATTGAAAAATATTTATTTCATTTTAGATATGTGGAATCCATCTATTTCATTTTAGAGTATCATGTAGCAAGAAAAACAAAATACTATAGATTTTGTTAACAACAATAACATGGACAAAAAATTGATAATTTTTTCAATATAATAGAAATTAAAAAAAAAAAAAAGAGTATATAGGAACTAGCAACCAATATTTTCTAAAAAAGGATTTGAGAGTTCATAGTAATCATTTTATCTCACTTTTTTTTTAATATATAATAACACTAATATGTATCTTAGTTTCTTTGTAATGTCATAAAAATATTACAATATATCGTAATATATTTAAAGGTCATATAGCGTCATCTATAGTTGCCGCATATTTCGTTTAGACATATTAAGTATAACATGTACCTATTGAATATTTACATTAGAATTTTTAGCTAAACTAAGTCATTATATAAAACAATTTATCAAAGTAATACGTTTTTCTAAAATTTTACAAAACTAATATAAACGTATTTCACGGTAACGTTTTAGGGTATATTTTATTTTTTAAAAACTAACAGCATTAGGTTGATGTACGTTACTGTAAGTAACGTTTTACCCCTAAAACGTTATTTTCAGTAGCGTTTTACTTATAAAACGTTTTAGGAGTAAAATGTTACTGTGAGTAATGTATATCAATCTGACGCCATCAACTTTTAAAAAATAAAATATAGCTTAAAACGTTACTGTGGAATACGTTTATACTAGTTTTGTAAAATTTAAAAAAAAATATATTATTTTAGAAATGGCTTTATATAATGGATTAGTTTGGTCAAAACCTCCTTACATTATTCAAAACGAATGCCTCGAAAATGTATAACACATATATCTAGCGCGCGAGAAGTATAAAAATGTGTTTTTTAGAATCTTTTTCTTCTTATTTCTTCCTCTTCCTTCATAACTCCTTCACCATTTTCGCCGCCACAATCATCACCATCCACCCGAGATTCTTCAACCATCTCACCCTCTCCCACACCACTACCATACGGGAACACTACATTTTTAGAAATGCAAGGAAATCATTGTAAATGAATTTTTTTAAGCACAAAATAAAATCATGATAAAAAGGGGAGAAAATTGAGGGGAGGAAATTGAGGTGGGTTCATCTACAAACTAAACAATCTCGAAATTTCATTTACATAAAGGAATCATTTATTAATTGAAATAACTCAATTTCATCATTATTTATTGAACTTCCTAGACGAGAAGAAGAAAATTGATAAATATTAAGATAATGAAGAAGGTTTCAATTTCAAACAAATAATTTCACAATCCTTTATTAGAATTGAAAATTTCTTCAAACAACTCGATTCCACCATTAATTGTTGAATTTCCTTCAAATTTTTTCCAAACGTCAAAAAAAAAAAGACAATATAAATTAAAAAACTAAAGAGGATTGATGTGCTATTTCAACATATAAAAAGGTTGAAGAGTCGATGGTTAAAGAAAAACAATGAAAAAATTATTTGGATTTGAAGAAAACAATGACGACGGCAACAATGGTGGATGTACAACTCTTTTTGAATGAAGAAGGTTGAAGAGCTACAGTGGGTGCACAAAAACTTTTAAATAGTTTTTTAAAAAGTTATAATCTAATTATCGTTTCAACTCAAATTGCCACATGTACGCTGTTAATTTGACAATAGGCTACACTTATTTTATATTTTTAACTGATTGTGAGGAAAATGCTCAAACGGTCCTAATTCGAGATAGTAAAGGTATTCAATAGGTATATCTCGTAATTGAAATATGCAGATAACTTTAAGGTATCTCGTAATTGAAATATGCAGATAACTTTAAGGAGTCATAGATGATTTAAGCCAGAGAAAAAGGTTTGAGTTGAACATAACAACAATGCAGTCTGTCAATGGGGTGTGGGAATGATGATGTGCATATAATATTCTAATTTTTTTTTATGGGATATTAAATAATGATTCATATTAATAATAATTAGTGTGTTCATCATGAACAATGTTGTTTCTCATCATGGTCAAATTTTGATGAGGGGTCTTAGCTAGCTAGGCATAGTTTCTAAAAAAAGAAATAATGTGGTTATAAACAAGATTGTTGGCGTTGGTTGCCATGACGAAGTCCGCATGAGCATAATTCTTGATGTACTGAACATGCAATTTGTCTACGTCATGAAACTTTAGATAGTCAAGCAATGTTTCAACGTCTTTGCTATCGGACAGTGCATCTTGCCCACCGTAGCTCAAAAATAGTGGAAGATCACGAGGAATGTTGCCTAAATCGTACTTTGGAGGTTTGGTTTCACCATAATGCGCCAAATTGTAGTTGCTCCCGTAGTCATATTTTGAAAGTGTACCATCTCTAACGGCTGCATCAACACACACACACTCATATATATATATTCACTCATTAAATTAAATATCAGAATATCACGATGAATCTGATAACTTACTCTGAGCCAAATGCACCAAGTTTTTAGTTGAAGTGGATTGAGGCTCGTCATTCAAAAATATCTCGACCGTGGAGGAATTCAAACAACAATTCTTCCCTTCAATCAAAATGTAAGATAAGTAGTTGTATGTGATAATATATAGTTCTCATTGACTTCACTAATTAATTAAATGTAGTTAATTAGTACCAGTAATTGCAGTCATTAAGTCATAGCAATTTACCCCTGGCTGAGCACAGAAGAACTTGAGCAATTTGTTTACAGGTCCACTAAATAATTCAACCAACAAATTACAAATTAAAACTATAAACATGAGAATTATAATGAGTTATTTAATTTACTTACCCCTTTGGATTAAACTCAGCAAGACCAAATATTGTGGTGATCTGCAGACACACCCAAAAAATATATATTTGTAATTAAGAGAGATGGATTGTAATATATAAATAAAACTCATACTATTTAACTATGTCTTTTAACTTGAATTCAGTTGGTATATACGCCCGTGTTCATAAGTACTAGATGTTTAAATTTACGGTATAAAATTAAACAAGTAGACATACATAGACTATGACATAAAATTGTCAGGTACGACAATATTTCTATTTATTTAATTTTATACAAAATATACTTACTTCACCAACAAAGGCTCTAGCAGCAACTTCACCAAGTGCAGTGGTCATATGGCTCAAATAAGCAATTGGACTTAGTAATGCTGCTGATTTAACCTTGTCTATTTCTCTTCCTTCTGAGAATGATGCCAAAGCTATCAAAGTTCCCTGTTACATTAAACATGAGTATGAATTTTGAAACTAATTAATTATATAATCGATCGATGGAACGTCGTACGATACCATTGAATGACCAACATAGTGTATTTTCTGTCCAGTTTGTTTGAAGATAAAGTCAATAACAGATGGTAAATCATGAACAATCAATTCATCCCATGACCAATTCCAGTATTCCTGCAAACAAATTGTTTCTTCAATAATAATAATAATAATATATGCATATATAATGTGTCTTTAAATAATAATTTGTAAATTGACGATACCGAATCTCTAGCGTCAAGGGTGACATGACGACGACTATATCTGGTTCCTCTGGTATTCGAAATCCAAACATCAAAACCATTATCTGCTAACATCATCGCCACAGATTCTTCCGGTGGACTCAACAACCACGTTGCACCATCCTTAAATAAATAATTATTCAAATTATATACAAAAAAATATTTTTTTTAACTATGTCTTTTTTTAAAAATAAAAATAAATAGTTGGCACAATCTAAGGTCCACCACTAAATAGCTAGCTATATCTTTATTACTTTTGGATTGAAATAATTGGCAACAATCAATACCACAATGGGCAATATATCCGATGCCATAATGGTGAAGATATTTAATGTCGGTTTCAGACTTATAAATATCCTTCTACCTTAAGAAATCATAATGAGTAGAAATCATATAGGATCCTCACTCTTTTAGTATAATAATATTTAATTTATCCTGAAAGTTTGCTATCTCCGAGTTTTACTCCACCAGTATCGGATCCGTCAAACTCAGCCAACGCTTATCATCAATTATATATTTTTTACTTACTATGCATAACCTTTTTATGAAACTTATTATAGACAGGATATCGATATTAATGGCTAAAAGTGTGAATTATTACCACAAGAACTCCATGCTGCAACAAAACTGGCTGCCTGATTTGCCCACCACCTCCTACACGGCCTTGAGGAATTCTTTGTACACTTAGTATGTATCCATCATCAGTTTTAACCTGAGACACAGATAATTAAGATTCCAAACTAGTAGACATATATAATTGAAATAAATTAAATATATATACCTCAAATTCTTGGCATTTGTAACCATGAGGGGCGACAGTGGAGGCACACATACCCGCTCCATTGTCGCCATAACTAATGAAACCAAAGTGTCTTGAGCTTAATACTCGATTAGGCTCAAGCACGAACATAACTAATGTGAAAATTCGTAAACATGACAAGATTGACATTGCCATTTCTATCTATAAAAAAATTAGTAAAATGGAGAAGGAATGGTTGAACTCTGAAAGAAAAGACAACTATTTATAGTGACATGGTGGGGAATAATCTGGATTGGTGTGAAAACCACTTGTTTTCTTTCTTCTAGTGATAGAGCCTTGACATGACTAACAGATTTGAAATTATTATAGTAAATACCTTTATGTGAGTGAAATATATTTTTGAATTTTCATCAAATATAGAAATGTTTTTAATATTTTTCTTTGTTTTTATTAAAAAATTTATGTTTCTACAAAAATTTGAGATCAGTAGTTTATGTTAATAGCAAATTAAAGACGTATTAAAATTTAGTTAGTCAAATAAAAAAAAATTAAAAAGCTATTAATAATTTATGTCAAATTCAAAATTATTTTCAGATAATTTGCAAACATAAAAAAAGGTTTATTTTGCTTTTCTATACATCGCACTACGTACTAATATACTATTGTTTCCAGTTTTTAGTATGAACACACAACTCTAAGAGAATGGGTGTTGGGGTCTACCAACTATATTTGGAAGTTTCGTATAAAGAGAGTGAAAAAAAATTAAGTTATATGCATCGGAATATATAGATATTTTTATTTTATTGAATTACTTTATCGATTATTCTCGATATTATATCATATTTTTTAAGTTATAAGTTTCAAATTTTCAAAAGACTTATTTATAGATAAGTTTTGTAGCAAGGTTGAAGGGATAGATCACTAATTGAAAAATGTAAATTAAATTATATACATAATTATCGAGTGCATGCATCTTCATCAATTGTGATACGTATCATATCTTATTTTCAAGATTATAAATTTTATATATTAAATTTTACAACAATATAAATAACCGCGCGACATCATATCTGTTTAATTCAATCATTATTTATCACTTAATTCTAAAAATATTTCACTTTTTTTTTTAATTTTGTTGCCTCATTTAGTGTAATTACCAAATGGTCGATAAGCTTCTCTCTCTTTTTTTTATCTATTCCGTGTATCGATTTTTGCACATCTCGACTAATTCTATCAGACCTATCATCTGACATCTCCCACCAATAAAATGTATCAAGTAACTCTGACCATCAAAAAATAATTGATAAGTTATTAGTAGAAGAACTAATATGATATTAAATATGTATTTTTCTGGTGTTTGAAGCTCAACTAATATCTGTTACATATTTTAAAACTTATGAAACCAATATTTAAATTAAAGGGAGATAAAGTGAGGCCAATTGTTGGCGGTTTTAATTTGGCATATTATATTTTGTTGAGAATTTGCAAAAGAAATGGCCAATTTGTTGCCCATCGTAAGCTTTCTATTTGGCTACTTGTATACTAAAAGTTGAGAGAGTTTAGGATAATTAGTTGTCAATTTTTCGTCTATCACACAAATAAAAGTTATCTATACATCATTATTTTAGTTTCACTCATGTTGAAAACATTTATTATAAAATTAATAAATCCTAAAATGATATGAAGGAACATATTATTCAATATAAATTCTAATAAGTTGAAAAATCATGTCATATATAGGGCACAAGCAATTGAGTACAGTAATATTATGTCTTTATTTTGTTGTGCGAAGAAATTAAAAAACTTAAGAAGCACGCACCTCAATCACCAATTGAACTAATTTAAAATTTGCAACTAATTATTTAGTAAATATCTTTTTTTAATTTTTTTAAATAATACCTTATGAATCTTTTAGATCATGATTTAAAAATCTCTTCTCTGAAAACATAATTCACATAATAAATGTGTGATTACTTTATTAACTATTAATTTATTGTTACAAGTATCTTTTATTTCATTATTTTTATTAAAATGATGAAATCAACTATCTTATATAGAAGATGAAATATATTTGTCTATATATTGGTTATATATCCCATCAACCATATGAAACAAGCTTTTATATATAGGAAACAAATATTTTATATGTATATATGATTCTTCCTATTTTCTATCTGTCCTAACTTTGATAGACAGAGTAATCTGAGACATGTTGATGGGAGATAACAAATATCTCATTGAAGCGTGAAAGCTAATTCGAACAAAGTTAATCTGAATATCACATTGAATACTTAGGGTGAAGATATCAACGTATATCATCCACTAACGATAACGTAAATATAATACATTACATATGGTTATAAAAATAATTGTTATGACATAATATTATTTATATTATACAATTATATATATAGTGTAATTGGTAAAGGTCCACACGTCAAAGCAATCACATAATTCATGGAATTTGTTGCGTTGTTCTTTATATTTTACATGTGCCGATGAAGTGGAAATTGGGAGAATACCAAGAAAGCGAAAAGGGGTCTTGAAATTAAAAAGATAAATTAGATAACTATATAATCCACACTTTATAATTAGTAGTTACAAGTGCTTATGCTTATAATATAGAAAATTTATATATAGTTAATTAGATATATCGAATTTGAGTAATTAATAGTATTTAAATTAATCGGATCAATTGGTTCTGAAAGTGAGAATGCAAAGGAAACAAGAGGAGATTCAAATTTAATGCCATTCAATGATTTTAGATTTACCTTGAAAAGGAAAACAAATTTAATGAGGTTGTTGACCATGAAAAGAATATTATTTGAAATTCAGAAGAATTGTGTGGAAGGCTATTGAGCAACTCAAAAAAGATTGTTGATAAAGTCATATTGCACTATTTTGGCTATAATTCATGAGACATCTTTTGTTTGACGGTGGTGTCTGGATCAACTTCCGTACATTTTGACTAATTTTACATAATATCTACTACCATCCACCACCAATATGTATCAGGTAACTTTATCAACCAAAGTTAAGGCAGATGGGAAGAATTACCTAGAGTTCTAGTCTAAGCTTAATTTTAAACCGCACACCTCAAATTTCTCGACCACTTGGCCACACCCTCTGGTGCAAACACATTTTTTTTATTTCCCACCCGGTGTCTGGTATCCACATTGAAGCCCGACTAAATAAGTATTCGTGTTGGGAAGTTCCACATTGGGGGGTAAAACGCTCCCCTAATAAAGGGGACTCAAATCCGAAACCTCTTAGTTAAGGATAAAGAATTACTTACCACTCTATCACAACCTTGTTGGCATTTTGTTGTTAAGACAACATGCACACTACTTGTTTGATTAAACTATGAAAGAGGTTCTATTTAACACTATCTCTTGCAAGGCCCAAACACATACCAGATCAATGTGTTTGGGCCTAAACATGGCAACTATTAAGAGAAAAAATGGCAATCTGCTCATTGAGGAGCTGAAACATATACAAACAAGAAAGTGAACTACTGATGATCAATTGGAAAGCTGTTTTTCTATATCTTTTTACATAAAAAAACACAAATTCAAGAATGAACATACCAGAACTCTACACAACTGTGTATTTGCCCCGGAATCTCATGGCCATTAAGTTTTATTGACCATCAAAGTTCATATTGTATACCTTAAACATGCACATAAAACACACACACATATATATATACCTTAAGAGAGACAACTTATTGGTCGGGTTGTCAGCCAACAGTACGTGCTGGGCTCATTCTTTTCCTCCTCTCACTAAAGCTACGACTTGAGAGTAACCTTGGAAGACAACATTGTGCTGGCTTCGATGATTTGACATCACATTTTAGCTCTCCATTGGGAGTTCTTTCGCTGTTACACACAGACGCATAAGGTGTCCCAGGTGTAGATCTTGGTGGAACTCGATCATCAGTAACTGCAGTTTCCTTTTTTGTACTTGTGACGTTTTGCTCATTGAGCTCACTTCTCAAGCTTTCACTGAAAAGTTCAGACAATCTCTTCTTTTTTTCCTGTGGCGGTGATTGCCGAAAAGAAGCAGGGGAATCTCTGTTACCTTTTAAATTTCCAGCCAAGCTGGGATGGACAGGAGTACTACCACGAGAAGGGGTAAAATCTGCAATTAAATAAAAGACAATGACAAGTAAACAACAAATATACGGCAAGGGTGTTGCAAGCACGTTTTCAAAAAAAAAAAAAGCTGATATATAACTACTTTTGTAGATTGGATCTCCTCTGGGTGAATCATTAGGCACTACCAATGAGTTGGATCAAAATCCTAATACATACTACGATAAATATTGATCAAAAGAATGAAGCATACATCATGAACTGAAGAACATATCTTACCTCCATTTACACTAAGGAAGTCATCATCACAATCAGAATCTAACCAAGCCTGGGAATCAAAGAAGGTCTCCTCCTTACTACCTACAATAACAAAGAGATGTCTTTGACTCTCGGATAAAGAGATGCACTTAAATTACACGACAGTAAACATAAACATTATGCAGGAAGATGCTCCAACAATCTGCAAGGTATTTCACATAGCTGTACTTTGAGAAGCTAAAGAAGAAAGTTGAAAGGAGTAATAGACCATAAGGCCTAATATGCAGCCTCAAAGAAATATCTCTAATAGATATCAAGAGAAATGATATTGACTGGGAGCATTCATTGGTAAACCCTTGTGTCTTAGGCCTTTTATCTTGTAAATAGTAAGATGCAACAAAAAGATGAATGATTATCAAAAAAATAGAGCTATAATTTGGGCATGTGATCAAGAACACAAGATGATGAAATGGAATACTTGACAAAGGTAGACGAACCATCCTCTACTGATCTTTGTTAATCTACATGAACATAACTGAATTTCGAGAAGGGTGAATGCAACTAGCAATTTCAAACTAAGTGTATAACATTTTTCTTCTGCTATCAACAACGAAAAGTCAGGTAAAATAAAACTTGTCAAGCGTGCCAATTTTATTAACAAAAAAATCTGTTACATTCAGCAATAAAACTCAGTGAATACTGAAAATATGTCTGTCGAAAACAAACAACATATTTTTTACCAACCACAATGAAATACCAGGTTGTAGCTTTTTATAAGAAATGTTCATTTAATCAAAGTAGTTGCGAGCAAGAAATAGAATAATGCAATGACTAAACAAATCCTGTTTGGATTGGCTTTTGGCTTTTGACTTATAAGCCACAAGTCAGAAATCCTAACTTATATTTTTTTGGCTTATTTTTACATTTTACTTAAAACCAAGTGCTTAAAAGCTATTTTGACTTTAAGCACTTCAAATAAGCTAATCCAAACAGGCTAATCTTCTTAAATCAGTTCTTAATAAATGTAAGCTATTTTCTTCTTCTTTTATGTTAAGCTTCTTTGTCTCCAGAAATAATTTTTTTAAAAAAATTGCCCTGCTCATGACAACATGTGCTACAGAGGCCCCATCAACCAAAACATCTAAATTTTGGCATTATACAAGATTCTAAAATAGCTTCTAAGAAATTATGAAAAAGTATACATTAAATTGTTGTTTTCTAGCCACCAACCTCAACTATTCTCATCACAATTGAACTAAAAGATGTTCAACTAATCACCTCCTTAAATACATCCACATAATCAAAATTCACCAAAATTTGAAGTTTATGAATTCTGAATACCCATAACTCATCTTAGTACCTAATTAAGAGTACTAACAGAGGCAAGAATCAAACTAACTCAAAAAAATCTTTCTTTTTTTTAAAAAAAAAGAAAAGACAGGAAACAATAATAGTAAGAGAATCAGATACCGAAATCAGGAAAGGGCGTTGAAGATCGATGAGTTGGTTTTTGTTGTAGAGGTGATGGAGTATGATGAGCAGTTTTGGACCCAAAAACAAGACGAAATTGAGGGTCTTTGTGCACTGAAACACATGAACCCATTTCTTCTTCAACAATCACAAATTAATCCATAGAATTTAGAGAGAAGAAGAAAGGTGCTGCCTGCTACTATTACCCAGAGTGACTGAAAAAACTCTTCAATTGGGACTTGAAAGCGAAGTTAGAATGGCTTTGGTGTGGTCCCACACAAAAAGTTTATATCATACGCACCATGCGTTTCCCCTTCCGTTCCGTTTCTTCCTAAAGATTTTTTCATATTCGAAAATTCTAATTAAAAGAGAAGAAAACAACGAATCATTTAATTGGTTGCTTTGCCGTAACTTATTAGTTATATTTATTTGATGTATCTCGATATTAAATATATTTTATATATTACACTTTTCAATTTTTATCAAATTTTAAAAAAATAATATATCTATCTATTTTATAAAGAGTTTCATGCATTTATAAAAATTAGAGACTACTTTTTTGTGATGTAACAATATTGGAGACAAATCTGAATTTAATTTCGAGTAAAATGAATATTATTTTTAAGACCTCTTAATTATTTAGGAAGTCGAGAGGTGGTGAGTAGGAAAAGATCTGTTTTTGCTTTATTTGTGTTTCCTGATTACTTTAATTTTATGCTAAATATGTCTATCAAAGATCTACTTACTTTATATATATATATATATATATATATATATATTTAAATTACAAGGGATTATATTTGATTAGTTTCCTTGGAATTATGTGACCTTTTAGAATTATTATCATGTGATAGTTGTATAGCAATGTGGCTGGAAAAGTGGCAAGTTTATGGTTTCACCTTTGTTCAGATTCCCCTTTTCTTTTTTTTCTTCCTTCCTCGTGTCTTTTATAAAAAAGTTATAAAATAAAATTAAAAATACTTTAAATGGTTATAAGCTAATTAGAAATCTCGAGTTTAATTCCGTAAATTAAATTATCTAATAGAGATTATTGTTATACTTTCAAAAATGAATTTTTTAAATAAATTTTAAAAACAAAGAAAAGATATATGTAGTTGAGGGAAGGTGAGAACATTAAATTTATCTTTTGTAGTAGCTAGGTCAATATGCAAATTAAATGAATATGAATGCATGGTGTTTAATATTTTGGTCCTGACAAGTTGTAAATTGTAACAACCCAATACTGTAACAATAAGACATGCAAATAATGAGTGTATTCCATTATTTTTTTTATTCGACGTCCAAAATTTATTAAATTTTTAAATTTTTTAATGGTAAAATTACTTCGTCACGATACCACAATATATTAATGTCGTATGAGTTCAAACTTTATTACTCCTTCAACCAAGTAGAGAAAAGAACGTTATATACTTATAGAAATTAATTTTCTGCCGTCTCTATTTAATTAGTTATTATTGTTATTGCTAGCTAGACCAAATTTAGTAGGTGTTCGTTAAAAAAAGATTAAAGAAAAGGTCTACGTCTGTATCTAGGGTAAACGTTGATTAAAATATGATATATAGCAGTTATTTTACTATTCCTAATAAAAGAGATTAAAGACTCTAGCTAATGCTAAAAATTTTAATATATTAATTCCAATAAATTCAAAATTTATAAACACATCTTTATAATAAAAATTACGATGGAATGATAAATATTATTATAATTTTTGGGTTCCAAATCTTGCTAAGTATTGAGTCACCTTTATTAATAATCATTTTACGAAACTTTTCTTTAGCCAAATTCGATACAAATCCAAATAAAAAGAAATACTAACATATATGTTAGGAATTGCATTTAGCTCAAAAAAAAAATGAGTAAATTGTTATGTTATTTTCTGATAGGACAATATTTTGGTCACCTAAATTGACAAATACGTCTGGACATGAGAACCAGTCAGGCCCCCACACACAGATATAGCAACAATATCGGGTCTTTTGATTTTATCCTCACATTACAAATCTTATTTTATTATATATCATCGTATCTTTTTCGACTTCAAATCTCCTAAATAAACAAATTTAATTTAGATTTTAACTATTATAAGTTAAAATTCTAATAGATCTATGAATTTTAATATAATGTAATAAAGGTGTGTTTGGTCACTTAAAATTAGAGTAAAAATAATTTTTATCTCAAAATATAATGAATGATATAAATAATGTATTTCATTTAACTCAATTTTCCAAAGGTATATAAGCTAGTATGGTCCAACACTCGTCACATGTACAATTAATATAATGATTAATTAATTGTTGAAGATACTTAAACAAGAGACAACACCATAAAGAGAAAAGGTTTGATAGGTGAAAAGTAATAGAGAAAGCAATAAGTGAGCTTTTTGTCCATTTGCTTTTTTCAGTAATCGGTCATGACTTGATTTGATGGCCAATGCACATATATATACTTGTAATATGTTATGCTTCGAATTGACAAATTTTTAGAATGATAATTTCTTAAATTACATATATTAGAATAATAAAAAAAGAAAAGTTAAGAGTATTTAAGTTATATATATATATTACGGATTTAGAGTCTTTCTATTGATCTGGTGTATATATATTGTGTACTACTCAATATATACTAATGGTAATTAATATTGTTGGACTATATGATTAATATTCGATTTTGAATAAAAACAGATTTGAATGGAACATTATTTACTTTTTCCTCATATATAGTAGAGCTTTATTGTTTCATTTTCTCTCAGTTGAGTTCTTGCACATCACTATGACTCATGCACCACTCATTATGAATCTATTGCAAAATATCTTTGCCTCACTTTCCTCCTATTCTTCAAGAATCAATTATATGTCCACAATTTTTTTTAAAAAAAACACAGTCAAATTTTACTAGCTTAGTAGTTAATTATTTAGATATATTATAAATTTTATCAGATTTCGATGCGTGTAGATACATATATCTCGAGATACATGAGGTCAATATTAGGTGTAATTTGTGTTCTAGATACACTGTATCCAAGTGAATTTACTTATATATTAGATACATGACTATCTCTCTCCTCATCTCGTTCGCCTCCCTCCCCATCTCGTTCGCCTCTCTCCTTATTTTAGTGTATTTGGTAATAAAAATATACTCCCTCCGTCCGGAATTGTTTGTCATGTTGTGCTTATCGAAAGTCAATTTGACTAATTTTCAAAGGTAAATTAAATTGCATTAATTCGATATTTTAAACCAAAAATTAGATATTCTAAAACTATATAAAAAGTACTATAATTTATAATTATTTGCATATTAATGTGATGAAAAAAATATATCTTAAATTGTTAATCAAAGTTTTTATGATTTGACAGTAAAGATAAAAACCATGACAAATAATACCAGACGAAGGAAGTATCTAATTATAAGACAGTTTTCCCTATTTTGTTTATGGAAATACTACTTTGGGCTGAGCTTCAATCAGCCCACCATAAAAATTCATATTGATCCACCCATTTAACATTGGGCCATTAATTGATACGAGTAGTTATTTGTTGCCCAATGTCAAATTAGATTGATCACAATATTGAGAATCCATGCATGCATGCATGTATATATCAAATCAAATATCCATATAGTATATATTTACCAATAAAAAAGTAACAAATTAAACTATGCTTTAAAAAATAATAATAGGATTGATATGTAACTAATAACTAGCAACACATCATAATAACAAACTCTTCAAAATTGAGCAAACCATCACCATTGATATCATATCTACCTATCATTCCTCTGCACTCATCAACACTCTTCTTCTCCCCTAACCTATGAAGCATTCTCTTTAAACTCTCTGGCGTTATGCATCCACATCCTTCCATCTCATACATCCTAAACGCCTCCTTTAACTCGCGCTCTTTCTCTTCTTTCGTCCCTCCATCTTCTACTAATCTCATAAAATCATCAAAATCTAATAACCCATCGTTATCCGAGTCATGGGCCACAATGGCTGCCTCTGCCTCCTCAAACAACAATACGTCTTTGCCTATGATCAAATCCACACATTGTTGCAACTCCAATACTGATATTTTCCCATCTCCATTCTCATCTATATGCTCAAAAAGTCGCTTGTATCCTTCCATCCTTAATTATTATCGCAAAATCACAATCACAATCAAAGGAAGTAGAGGAAGAAAAATAACACAAGAATTTATTATGAGTTCCCTAAAATGAAAGACATATATGGTCTCTTGAACAAACAAAACAAAAGTGAGAGGAAGATCAGAATAGAATTGAGAAGAAACCATATAGTCATATATATATGTGTTTGAAAGTAGAAAAGTAAAATTAATAACGCGTGGTGTGTGTGTGTAAAGGAGATTAATATAAAAGGTGTGTTTGGTTATTGATTTATCAAATTTCGTCTACTTGGAGAAATTAAGGAAACAACATAGAAGTATCTGAGAATGTTCCAAGTTTTGTGGAAGAAGAAGATTTGGATTAGAATATTATAATTTAAAGTCAAATAAATAACCAGTAAAACATAGTATATATTCTCAGCCCTTTTATTGGGTGTAATAAAGTCCAAATTCAACGTATTCAAGGTGATATATAGAAAAGCTTTAAATAGTAGAATTTACACCTAAAAAAGATAGTATTGATTTTACCAATTACTATTAGAATTATTTAAATAAAGTACTTATATATGTTGGCTGTTCCTAACAGACAGAAATATAGAAAGTTTTAAAAACAAGGCATTTTGCTCCTTCTTTACGTTTGCTACATTATTTTGTGTTATTGTGCATTAAAAATGTTAGCATATAAATGATTCATAAACCTAAATCGAATTAGAAAATGGAGAAGGGAAACAAAAATTAGATTATATTAATTCGATATTTTAAATCAAAAATTAGATATTCTAAAACTATATGAAAAATACTGTAAATTGTAAAAAAAAAAAATTGCATATTAATATGATGAAAAAATAAATCTTAAAATATTAATTAAAATTTTTATAATTTAACTCAAAAATTAAAAATCATGACAAATAAATCGGACGGAAAAGGTAATACAATAAATCGAAAATCAAAAGAACTCTGCCGTCGTTAGGTGTGAAGGTTGTTAGTTAATATATCAATTTTCACACCATGCATGGATTATTTAATTTCATTGAACCTGTTGTAGCTCAACAAATCGACCCAAATAGATAATTCAAATTGAAAAAAAGTTATTGATTTATTGGTAATGAGTTATGTTATTGATTTAGGCGGTTTAGTAATGAGTTTTGATTTTCTTAATTTTGAGTTATTAGTTTTTAATGGTTAGAAGTTTTTTCTTTAACGGTCTAATCGATAATTCAATAGTAAATCAATAAAATTATATTTATAACATTCGGTCGATGAAGTCCTTAACTTAGAGTTTAGTTTCATATTTTTACTCTATTTGTCCCACTTTATGTGACACTTTTTATTTTTCGGGAGTCCAACAATTTAACTTTGATCGGACACTTGCGTATAAAATTTTTAAATTTTTTGAAATGAAATTTATATATTTGTAAACTACGTAAAGATTATTATATATAGTCCAAAATGTTTAAAATGATCTATGAAAAAAATACGGTCAAATATACACTTGTTTGAATCTCAAAATAGGAAAAATGTCACATAAAATAAAACAGAGGGTGTATTTCTTATCGTCTCGAACTCTCGATTATTCTAAAATATATTTGTATTTGCTTTAAAGTAAGTGCATGTCCATGAAAATCCTGTGGACGCGGTCGATGAACTAATTTAAATTTGACACGTGTCATTTAACGTCTCTCCCAGTCGTGTGGACTGTAATTTCTCCCAATCAGATCTTTTCGTTAAGCACAACAAATACAAATAAATGTGGGACCCGATTCAATTTCTTCCACCGCTTGATGATTGACACGTGTCACACAGCTCGTGCCATTGTCGTAAATAAATCCCACATTCAGGGACAAATGTTTCACTCTCCACCATCTTCGCGTCTCTAAAACCCCAATTTGCTTTCCTTAGAGAAACCCTCTTGTTTTCTCTGGGCGGCTATACAGAGAATCATTTTCCAGCCGGCGATGGCATTGCTCAGCCGTATCAGAGCGGCGGCGAAGCCACTTATTCGGACTGAATCTCTACGGTCTTACGGATCAGCTGCAGCTCAGCTAGTAGACTACGATTACGATGATTACGAATATGAAGAGTTTCAGAACCGGAGCTGCGTAATGGAGGAATCTGAGGGATCGGTTCCTCGAAGGGGAGTGCAGTGGGTGATTATGGGTGATCCTATGGCACAGAGACACGTGTATGCCCAGTGGCTCTCGAAGCTTCTAGGTGTCCCTCATATTTCCATGGGTTCACTCGTTCGCCAAGAGCTCCACCCTCGTTCTTCTCTCTACAAGCAGGTTTTTGTTTATTCTGCATTTCTGTTTGTTTGAGCTTTCAATCTATCTGCAATGGAAATATGAAAATAAAGATTGTTCTTTTAGTTATTAGCTGGTCATATTTTTGACAAATTGTTAAAATAATTGAAAGAATTAACTTTGAATTGAGGGATTGAATTACAAAATTTACATATAATTGATCTATGCTAGCTCAGAATGAAAAGTTTATAAGCTTGATTGAGCTCAAACCTTTTAATTGTTTGCTTGATTATATGATTGATCTCTGCATTAACATATAATTTACATAAGTAGAAAAGTTGCACTAAATTTGATTTCCCTTGAGAAATGTCATGTAAAATGGAACAAAGGAGTACTTTCTCTTTTGCTTTAAGATAGTCTCACATTACACCTGTTCTTTTTGTTTGTTTAACCCAATAATACTTTCCATCTTTGTTTATGGCTCAATGAAGATAGCAGATGCTGTCAACCAGGGAAAACTTGTCCCGGAAGAGGTTATATTTGGTTTATTGTCAAAGAGGCTAGAAGAAGGATATTGCAGTGGTGAAAGTGGATTCATCTTGGATGGGATTCCTCGATCAAAGATTCAAGCTGTAAGTATAGCCTCCCTTCCGTATCGTTAACATGTCTCTCTACTTCTGAGGTAGGGGTGAGGTTTGTGTGCCCTCCACAAACTCCATGGGTGAGGTTTGTGTACCCTCCACAAACTCCACTTTGTGGGATCACCGTGCGCATGTTGTTGTTGTTGTTGTTGTTGACTTCTAGTGTTCTGGACAGAATAATACATAAACTTGTTAATAAAACGTCGAAAGTAAATTTTGTTATACTTTGATCAAAGAGGCCTGTTTATTTTCAACTGATTTATGTTGAACTGGTTTGTTTTTGCAGGAGATCCTGGACAAAACTGTGGACATAGATTTAGTTCTGAATCTTAAACGCGCAGAGGATTTGGTGTCAAAGAAAGATAAAAGCACTGGGCTTTATCCACCACTGGAATTCCTCCGCATGGGGGCTTCTGGAATTAGTACCAGTCGGCAGCCAGAGGGTGGTCATTTTAGGCCTTCAAGTATCATGGAAGATGTCTCGAGGAAGAACCTGCATGTGCATGCAGAGCAGGTACCTAATGATGCTTTAAATTTTACAGTTGCAGATACTCTAAAAAAATTGATATTGTAACTTGAGATGAATGAAATTGTAGATTGCCTCTTTTAACATTCAATGAATTGGACTATAGATTCCCTCCTTAGCATTCTTGATGTGTGTAAATACTAGTGCTTGCTGAATTCAACATGCAAATGTGCTGTTTCAAAATGTCATTTTAGGCCTTCAAGTATCTTGTTTGAGGAAAAATCAAATCAAAGATCTTTTGTTTGATAGCTAATATACGGAGTACCTGATTGCTAGTTGACGTAACCACACTGAATTGTTTATATATCTATGCCATTTGTTGTGGAACTGTTGGTACTCACTTGGTCTTCTCACGTAGTTTTACTTTGTTTGTGCAAATATCTATATGTTTCAAAAGTGATGTTTCCTGCAGTTGTGATGTGATGTATGTGAATTGTATATTCGATTTGTTTAAATATTCTGTTTGATTTGTCTTTCATTTAATAGCATGATAAAACTAATTGCATGATCTTGGATCAAAATTTTCTCAGTAAAAACAACATCAACTGATACATATCACCATTCTGTCTTATATTAGGTCAACCCGCTAGAAGAATACTACAGGAAACAGAGAAAGCTCCTAGATTTTCAAGTGGCTGGAGGACCTGGAGAAACATGGCAAGGCCTTTTGGCTGCTTTGCATCTTCAGCACAGGAATGCAGTTGGTTCTACACAGTTGACCGCAGGATGCTGATCTTCATTCTTTTTGCAAGCTTACTAAGTATAGGAAATATGAGTGTAACAAACTCTAATTTTTGGGCGGGAATACATGTATTTTTGTTTCATTTTTGTTTAAAAGAGTACAATCTAGTTCTTCTGCAGAAGAGGTGTGAGCATTAGACAAGCTTACATTATACTCTCCATATATAGATTTCTACAAAGTGCATTTTTCATGAATGCTTATGTTGTGTAAAACTTCAAATCCACATTTATTAGTTCGTGTTGTGGCAGTTGTCACCCATATGATTCTTGAATGTATCGTGTTCTGCAAAGTTTTGGCTGTAAAAAGCTATACATTGCACTTCTATACTACATGCTATATTGTCCTGATGTTGATAGTTGATAGATGGTCTGTAAAGATAGAAATAAGGACTAGAGCAATTGCCTAAGCTGCAAGCATTTATTCACAGAAGTAAAGAAGGCAGTGTACCATATTGTTGCTTACACATTTTGAGAGGTCAAAATTATATTATTCACTCTTCATCCAAACTTCCCGAAGGAGTTGATACCTAACAGCATTTCCATTTCCGCTACCTTCTGCTATCCTACTGGATTTTACAAGAGGTGAAGTTGCAATGCCCTCAGAAATGATAAAGTTCAAATCTAGTTGGTCCAGTTCATCATCGCTTGTGTATGACTTCTTGAGCACTGAAGATTTGCTTCGTCTCAGCTGAGAATGGTGACTAACATCACCTAATAGACCATCAACTGAAGCTGTTGAAGGTGGCTTATAAGCTACAGGAGCTGCTGTGCATGGGTAGCTCATGACAGAATCTTCTTCGGCATCAAAAGGATCCTAACCAGAAAAAATTGCAGACAACTCTTGGTTCGTTGTATTGTAATAACAAAAAATGCTTAATTCATCAACTTTACTCCAAACTATAGCATGGGAAAATGAACAAAGTCAAAGAGATGATATGAGCTTACCTCGGAGTTAAGAGCTTCAAGTACAACTTCATGTATTGGATCAGGGCAAAACTCATCCGGGACAAAAACATTAAGAACCCTTCTGATTATGATCGGACCAAATGTGGGACAGACCTGAAGAGTAAGGC